AGCATTTAAAAAAATCAATGTCAGTTTCTGTGCGTTCATAAGACATGTGCTTCATTCATGTGTTTGTTAATTTAAAAATTAATTAAAATTGCTAACAATTGGTTTCTCAGTAATTTGTTTGGCATCAGGCACGAATTAGCTTTGGATAAGTGCTGAGGATAAAAATAACCGAGATGAAAATACAATTGAAGTTTGCATGATGATATAATTCAGTGGTTTTCCATCTATGTTGTTAGAAGCCCTGTTTTTCCCTCCTGAGCTGTTTGTTGGGGGGGGGGGGTGTCCCTTCAGAGACATAATAGTGGACAAGTTGTTCAAAAGACAACAGCTTATTAGCTGTTACCCATCTTCCCTTGCATGGTGCAGCTGTGGAGGGACAAAGTCATTGATCAGCATAGAACCAGGAGTGTGCTCCTTTATGAAATCCGATAATGCCCTAAAACATACCCTTAGAATGTTTTGTGATTCATGGATTCCATGACTAAAGTATTCCCTTTGAAGTGGAAATACTGTTCTGGGTAGGATAGGAAGTGCTTCACAGCTGCCACACTAGATCAGCCGTCTGCACAGTCATCTGCCCGGTTATGGATCTATATTGAATTGACCAGTCGCGATATGGGCAGGTGATCAGTGGACTAGGCTTAGAGCAGATAAAACAGGAGCAGAGCTGGCAAGATTGCAAAGTCAGTTATTGGCATCATTACTATGAAGCTTTCTAAGTGAAGTTTTATCAGATTAACAGGACACTCTCTGTTCTCCCAGGAAACAGCCTAGTAACCCTGCTGTGCCACCTCTTCAACGTACATGGGCTTATCCATCATTTCCAGTTAGACATGGTTACATTACACAGATTCTTAGGTAAGTTCATTCTTTAAGTCTCTGCTATGGAATATCTGTAAATACCAGTATTTCCCACTATGGCAAGTGGGAGAACTGACAGAGAAATTTACACAGTATAGCATGACCCCCAAGCAGACAGCAGTTGCGTGATCACCAGAGTAAATGTGGGCATGCACCTAGAGCCATGGAGCAAGGATCTCTTCTCCCCAGCATTATCTTTTCTTTTCAAGCGATGAACACTGAATGACTGGCTCCACAGAACATTTCGGTAACTGGTCCTACCACGTATCCTAACTTGTGCATATGATAGGAAAACTGAGTAATAAGACAGGGAAAGACCACTCCTCCTCACGGTCCAGTTAATAAGTCTCCTATGAACAAAGAGGTAAATTACACATTAAATAAAAGGGCATGTAATGAAACCTGTACAAGATTTATAAATGAAAGCAGCCTAGGGCCAGGGGCTGCGGGAGGCTGTAATATGAACAGAGGTGCAGCAGGACATGATTGTAAACATGCATGCAATGCAAAGAAAAGCAACAGGGAGATGATTCTGAACAGAAAAATGGTCGGCAGGAAACAAATAAGCTCTTCCCTCCCCCACCCCCAAACTGCAGACTTATAAAGCTACTTTTAAAAGGTCAGGACTATATCAAAATAGATTTATTTATTTAGGGTATTTGTATGCCATGTTCTCAGTCAAACTGACTCTCGAGGGGGCATTTGTTTGTAATGTGCAGTCATCCCAAAAGAATATAGCAGCACCAGAGTGCAACAAACTCACCAACTCAAAACTATTCTCTCAGTGCATAATTCCGTTTTTGTGGCATGCCTTCATTAGCCTCTCAAGAAATGTGCCTATCCTATTAGTATCTAGGCTACAGTCATTGATCATCTATAGCTAGGAGAATCTTATCCTTAGTACTTAATGTTTTTTATATGTTTTCAACAATCCAATCAAGGATTTATACCAGCGCACATTTATAGCCCATAAATTCCAGTTGAATGTTAGTTGTTGTTGCATTCCCACCCAGCCAGGCCGCAATCCTGTAGTTATGCCCTGTCTATTCAGTATTATAATAGATGATTAATTAAGCACATATTTAAACTTCACTGATTGGGTGCTCACTGATTGCCCCCTCCCCATGTGTGTTCTGTTCCTCAGCTCTGTGTTGTGACAAAGCATGTAGTCCCCCATCCCTTTTAGTTCTTCTGCACTGGGCTACTAGTATCTAAACCTCTGCAAATTGCTGAGATCCATACCCTCTCATACCCACACTGGGAGCTACCTTAATTTAGTTTTAAAAAATATTTTCTTCTAATCATCACCCCATCTGCATTGTCTCCTCTCAGCTGACCAAGATTATTGCTCTTCCCCACAGTGCCCCTCCTGTCCCCTCCCTAAATCTTGTCAGTGTGGAGCAGCAGCAGTAGAAGCCAATAAGCAGCCCCGGTCCTTGAAAAGCAATCTTAGCCTGAGTGCACTAAAGATGTATGTGTGCAGCACGGTAAAGGACAACATGGAAGACCCTGCCCAACAGGACTGTAGGTTCCCTATTTGAAAGGAGGGCTTTCCCTATCTCCCCTAGATCATGACAGTCATATTTCCCTATTCACAATTCAGAATAGGTCTGCCTTGCTTACAGCAACATCCTTCTAAAGGAGGAAAATGTCTGACAGATTATGTAATAAATTCCTCCCGAAGTGCTGGGTTAGTGTGACATTTCCTTTATCCATCCTCGGTGGCTTGAAATTGGACTACCACATGGCACATCTGGGCTTCAGCAGCAGAAACTGTAGAATTCTCACTTGTTATGCTGATAGGAACAGAGAGAGCTGTAAAGGTCTCTGCCAGTTTTCCAGATGAATCTTAACTATTCGAACATTGGAAAATACAGGTGATCTGTATAAAAAAGAGAGAGTCGGTGTGTGCGTGTGTGGGAGGTGATAGTGCCAAATGGAAGGCTATGGCTGCGTCAGTGCTGCCTCTTTAAGGTGACTTCAAGACATCTGGTTTTTGAGACTTGATAAAGCTATGTTGACCTGCATTATGAATGAAGGTAGAATTCTTCCCATAAAAAGTCATCTGCTGAGGTCATAAGAACATAAAAGAAGCCAGGTTGGATGAGGCCAATGGCCAATCCAGCCCAACACTCTGTGTTTGGTGTAGTGGTTAAGTGCGCAGACTCTAATCTGGGAGAACCAGGTTTGATTCCCCACTCCTCCACTTGCAGCTGCTGGATGACCTTGAGTCAGTCACAAGTTCTCTCAGAGCTGTCCTCTCAAGAACAGTTCTCAAAGAGCTCTCTCAGCCCCACCTACCTCACAGGGTGTCTGCTGGGGGGGGGAGGGAAAGGAGATTGTAAGGCACTCTGAGACTCCAAGTGAAGGGTAGGGTATAAATCCAGTCTCTCTCTTCTCTTCTCCTCTTTTTCTTCTTCGTCACACAATGGCCAAAACCCAGATGCCATCAGGAGGTCCACCAGCAGGGCCAGAAGTCCAGAAGCCCTCCCACTGTTGTGGGGCCAAAGCCGAAAGGACGCTCAGTTGTGGATGTGTCTGATGGTGAAAGGAAAGTCCAATGCTGCAAAGAACAATACTACATAGGAACCTGGAATGTAAGATCTATGAATCAAGGTAAGCTTGACGTGGTCAAAAATGAGATGGCAAGACTGAACATCGATATCCTAGGAATCAGTGAACTAAAGTGGACAGGAATGGGCGAATTTAACTCAGAAGACCATTATATCTACTACTGTGGCCAGGAATCTCGTAGAAAAAATGGTGTGGCCTTTATAGTCAACAAGAGAGTGCAAAAGGCAGTACTGGGATACAATCTCAAAAATGACAGAATGATTTCTGTCCGATTCCAAGGCAAACCATTCAACATCACAGTAATCCAAGTCTATGCCCCAACCACTGATGCAGAAGAGGCTGAAGTGGACCGGTTCTATGAAGACCTACAACACCTCCTAGAACTAACACCAAAAAATGATGTCCTCATCATCATAGGGGACTGGAATGCTAAAGTAGGAAGTGAAAAGGTAACTGGAATAACAGACAAGTTTGGCCTTGGAAAGCAAAATGAAGCAGGGCAAAGGTTAACAGAGTTTTGTCAAGAGAACACACTGGTCATAGCGAACACCCTTTTCCAACAACCTAAGAGGCGACTCTACACATGGACATCACCAGATGGGCAACACCGAAATCAGATTGACTATATAATTTGCAGTCAAAGATGGAGAAGCTCTATCCAGTCAGTAAAAACAAGACCTGGAGCTGACTGTGGTTCAGATCATGAGCTACTCATTGCAAAATTCAGACTTAAACTGAAGAAAATCGGGAAAACCATGAGGCCATTCAGGTTTGACCTAGATCACATCCCTGATGAATATACAGTAGAGGTGAAGAATAGATTCAAGGGTCTGGATTTGATAGATAGAGTGCCTGAAGAACTATGGACGGAGGTTCGTGACATTGTACAGGAGGCAGCAATCACCACCATCCCAAAGAAAAAGAAATGTAAGAAAGCAAAGTGGCTTTCTGATGAGGCTTTACAAATAGCAGAGGAAAGAAGGAAAGCGAAAGGCAAAGGCGAAAAGGAAAGATTTACCCAACTGAACGCAGATTTCCAGAGAACAGCAAGGAGAGATAAGGAGGCCTTCCTGAATGAACAGTGCAAAGTAATAGAAGAAAACAATAGAATGGGAAGGACTAGAGATCTCTTCAAGAAAATTGGAGAAATCAAGGGAGCGTTCCATGCAAAGCTGGCCATGATAAAGGACAAAAACGGTAGGGACCTAACAGAAGCAGAAGAGATTAGGAAAAGATGGCAAGAATACACAGAAGAACTATACAAGAAAGACCTCGATGTCCTTGACAACCACGACGGTATAATCACTGACCTCGAGCCAGACATCCTGGAATGTGAAGTTAAATGGGCCTTAGAAAGCATTGCTAACAACAAAGCTAGTGGAGGTGATGGTATTCCAGCTGAGCTATTCAAAGTCTTAGAAGATGATGCTGTTAAAGTGCTGCACTCCATTTGCCAGCAAATTTGGAAAACGCAACAGTGGCCACAGGATTGGAAAAGATCAGTATACATTCCAATCCCAAAGAAGGGCAACGCCAAGGAATGTTCAAACTATCGCACAATTGCACTCATATCACATGCTAGCAAGGTCATGCTCAAGATCCTACAAGCTAGGCTTCAACAGTACGTGGATAGAGAACTGCCAGAAGTACAAGCTGGGTTTCGAAGAGGTAGAGGAACTAGAGATCAAATTTCCAACATTCGCTGGATTATGGAGAAAGCAAGAGAGTACCAGAAAAATATCTACTTCTGCTTCATTGACTATGCTAAAGCTTTTGACTGTGTGGATCACAACAAACTATGGCAGGTCCTTAAAGAGATGGGAGTACCAGACCACCTCACATGTCTCTTGAGAAACCTGTATAAGGGCCAAGAAGCGACAGTTAGAACCGGATATGGAACAACTGATTGGTTTCGCATAGGAAAAGGAGTACGACAAGGATGTATATTGTCGCCTTGCTTATTTAATATATATGCAGAGTACATCATGCGAAATGCTGGCCTGGATGAATCACAAGCGGGAATTAAGATTGCTGGGGAAAAGATCAACAACCTCAGATATGCAGACGATACCACTCTGATGGCAGAAAGTGAAGAGGACCTCAAGAGCCTCTTGCTCAGGGTAAAAGAGGAGAGCGCAAAAGTGGGCTTGAAGCTCAACATCAAAAAAACTAAGATCATGGCATCCGGCCCCATCACTCCTTGGCAAATAGAAGGGGAAGTCGTGGAAGTAGTGACAGACTTCACGTTCCTGGGATCCCAGATCACTGCAGACTGTGACAGCAGCCATGAAATTAAAAGACGCCTGCTCCTTGGGAGGAAAGCGATGGCGAACCTAGACAGCAGAATAAAAAGTAGAGACATGACCCTGCCAACCAAAGTCCGTATGGTCAAAGCGATGGTATTCCCAGTAGTAATGTATGGCTGTGAGGGCTGGATCATAAGGAAGGCCGAGCGCCGAAGAATCAATAGATGCTTTCTAATTATGGTGCTCGAGAAGATGCTTGATAGTCCCTTGGAGAGTGCAAGGAGTCCCTTGGAGTGCAAGGAGATCAAATCAGTCAAGCCTAAAAGAAAAGAAGTCCAGATACTGAAGATGAAGTTCAAATACTTTGGCTACCAAATGAGAAGGGAGCACTCACTGGAGAAGACCCTGATGCTGGGAAAAATTGAAGGTCAAAGAAGACGGGGACGGCAAAGGATGAGATGGTTAGACAGTGTTATCGAGGCAATGAACATGTAATTAAGCAAACTCCAGAGGATGACGGAAGACAGGAGGGCCTGGCATGATGTGGTCCATGGGGTCAAGAAGAGTCAGACTCGACTGTGCGACTGAACAACAACAACAACAAAGCTGCTGTAAGGGAAGGAAAACTTGTCAGTTTGGGTGGGATTTAAATGTTCCTTGGATGGATGAGGGCTGGGCTGAGAAGCTGAGAGAGAGTCTTATGAGGAAAGGAAAGAAGGAACAATCAGAAAGAATGTGCTGAAGAAGATTTAAGGTCAGGACTCTCATGACTGAAGTGGGGTGAAAGAAGCTCCTGAATGACAGGAACTTGAGGAAACTATGAAGAAAGGGAACCGAAGAGAAGAGAGCATGCAAGTAACTGGCAGGAGCTTTGCATGTATAAAGTACCAAGTTAAATCTCTGCTGTCTTGGCTTCAAAGGGTCTCAGGGTCAAATAAAATGCTTTAAGTTTAAGGCAAACAAGAGGCTCCCAACTTTGTTACTTGTGACCTGTAACCATAAGACCAGTCTTGGAATTAAAAGAACAGCTGCAGCACTTTGTTAAGGACCTTTCCACTTAGATTCCGATCTTCGATTAAGTTATTCACAAATGATATCCCACAATAGGACAACTGGATCCTTTCTCTCTTGTACACCGTCATACATTAAATAGCACTGCTCTTCTTGTGTTGTGATAGAGTGGACTCAAGATTTTTGCCCAAAGGTAGAGAGCCTGGCTGAATTGTTTATTTAAGGGCTTGGTCTTACTTGTTGAAAGAAATTAGTGACCTTATTTGCGAAACTTTTGAGGTTTTTAATAACTGGCATCTCTATTTTTCCATTTAAATGTTTGCGATTGCGGAAGATGAGAATGTGTTAATATATGACGCTGCACTATAAACTGAAAATCTTTTATACTTTCATAAGCATCATAAAAATTAACTGAATCATACTCTCCTATGAGATATGAAACCTGAGCAATTTCATGGGCATGAATTTGTTTTATTGTGCATACAGTAAGAGGCATGTTTCACTTAACGCTGCATTAAATTTTCTGTTGTACAGCTTGCTAACTTCCTCACACCTCTGGACATTATGCTGGGACTACTGGCTGCTGCAGCACATGATGTAGACCATCCAGGCGTCAACCAACCATTTTTGATAAAAACCAAACACCATCTTGCCAGTTTATACCAGGTGAAAATACCATTCAGCATGTAGGAAATGGTTTTATTAATCAGTCATATTTCAGGGCCATATTGCTTGTGGCCAACTTCTCTCCTTCCCCCCATCACAATTTCTAGTTGGAACCATCTAGAACCATCCCAGATGTAAAAGGTGGGGGCATGTCAAGTTTTCATCTTGTGGTGGCAAACAGTTCCAGCAGTCATTTTATACCATATGCACGGTGCAAGAAAGCATACTGGGGGGAAACAGTGTTGGCGTCAAAATGTAGGGTTGGATCCAGGCTGAATTAGCAATTTCTGCTGATTCCCCTTCCCACTTCAAATCCCCTTCTTGTCATTCCTCTTGGTCCCCTATCCCTCACAGGAGCAGCATTTCATGGAGCTTAATCAGCTGCAGTGGTGAGCTGGGAGACAGGAAATTTCCATTCTGCCACTGGAAAATTTACTCCAGATCCAACCCCATGTATTTTCAAACAGCATAAGTCTGCTTTCAGGAGGTATATCCATGACTGTGCAAATGATTCTGTGGGATATAGTTCAGCTTTAAAAGCCTGTGTAGCTGTGAAAGTGCAATTGAAAGTGAGGGGAATGTTTCTGGTGCCCCATAGCTCTCTCCTGGTAAAACCAGATCACACAGTACAAAACAAGAGGACTTTATGCAAGGCTGCATAATTTTCACAGGCTGATGAGCTCACAAAATTTGGATTGTCTGGGTGTAGGTTTGCCTTTTCATTCTAAGCCTGATGTATGGATAGCTGTGGATAAAATGATTTCTGAGGATTCTAAAGAATGCAATGATGACGCACATTGGTACACAGGAGAGAAAATACATGTAGGAAAAGGAGTTTAATACATCCTCTCCATTTAGATGAGTAAGAGCCCAATATTGTATTCTTAGCTTGGGGGGAATACAGGGAAAAGCTAGGTGTCCCCCTCCCAGGTCCTTGCAGGCTCCCCACTGCGCAACTGGGCCTAGCAACGCACTGCACCATGGGGCCTGACTTTTCTGGGGAAAGGCTGCTGGCAGAGGGAAGGAGGGAAAGCTGAAGACAAGAGAACAGATACATGTAGATTTTTGATGGGCGGGAAGGATAGAAAGAAGCAGGAAATCAGGAGAGCTATGGGGCTTTTAGGAAAGGGA